CATGAGGAATATCCGCATCACTGCACTGCTCCCACTCCTGCAAAGGATACCTTTACCACACACTACGCCTTGAGGATAAGGGGCTCGTTTCGTTGCTTTTTGGTAGATCCGACCCACGGCAGCACACTCCTCTATAATACAGCAGGAGCATCCTCTTCACCCACGGCTCCCATTCGAGATCGCCCAGGCCAAGTCGATTACTTTCTTCTTCCTCTTTTGCTTTTTCTCTCTTATTCTTCTCACTTATTCTTGTTTTACTTATTCCTTCAGTTTATTCCTATTTCTTGTTTCTTTCTCTTATTTCTTTTCTTGCCCACGTTCTACACTCACTTAACAAGACTCCTCTACTGGCTTCACTCCTCACCGCCCATCATGGATGCCGCCGACCTGAGCGACGACACGCTCAACAGCTTCGCCATTGTGGAGCGTGTGGGCTCTGTTCTTTCTCTCCTCGGATGCCTTGTCGTCATCGGTACATTCAGTGCTTCAAAGTCATTCCACAAGCCTATCAACCGCCTTGTATTCTATGCCTCGTTTGGCAACATGATGACCAACGTGGCAACATTAATGGCTCGATCATATCTAAGTGATGTTTTATCACCTGGTTGCCAGTTTCAAGCCTTCCTGATTCAAATGTAAGTGCTGGAAAAAAGAGAAAAAGTGAACAGAAATCAAAAAGAGATCAAACGAAACAGGAAGAGATGAAAGAAGAGACTAACACAATAAAGGTTCATGCCGGCGGATGCGTTCTGGACTTTGGCCATGGCCGTCAACGTCTACCTAACCTTTTACTACAAGTTTGACGCTCAGAAGCTGCGGCGCATGGAAATCCCATACCTCATCTGTTGCTACGGCATTCCATTTATCGTGGCACTCACCTTTGTTTTCGTCACCAACGACAGACAGGGTCGCATGTACGGCAACGCCACGCTTTGGTGCTGGATCAGCTCCGAGTGGGATATCTGGCGCATTGCCATGTTTTACGGCCCCGTCTGGGTTGTCATTCTCATCACCATTTTCATCTACATCCGCGCCGGGCGTGAAATCTACAAGAAACACAAGCAGCTGCGCAACTTTCACTACAGCAGCCACCACGAGCCCGAGCCACTCCCGCCGATGGACGACCTGTACAGCTCCAGCAAGACCACTGAAGTGTATGTCACAACCGAGATTGTCAATACCCAACATGACCCTGTTATCGACCTGGCGCCTCTCGGCCGCCGCAACTCAGGTGCTGCCAATATGAACAAGGCTGCCGCCCCTGCACCGCCCCAGCCCTCCGCCCCTGCCAACAATGGACGCCCTCCTGTCGGAAACGCTGCCTACTCCGTGACGATATCGTCAAACAAACGCCCGGTTAGCGTTGCCAACGGCAACAACCGCGAATCCTACAGCGAAGGCGACACCGGTCTTCCCGTCCAGGACCAGAGCGGAGACCGCAGTGGTGTCCCCAGAGCGATTCCCATGGAGCCCAACACGTACACTCTGAAGCAAATGATGTCGGCAGACCGCACCACCACCTCTGCATCAGCCGTCGGACCAACCGTTGTGGGTGTCTCAGCCGGCCCGCGCAACCCACCCAACCAGCGTCTCCGCCGCCGTGCCGCCTATGAAGCCAACACGGCCGCCTGGTCATACACCAAGTGCGCCATTCTGTTCTTTACGGCGATGCTGGTGACTTGGATCCCTTCCAGTGCCAACCGTGTGTTCTCCGTTGTCCATGTCAACAAGGTGTCCGTCCCGCTGGAGTACATGAGCTCCTTCGTGCTTCCGCTGCAGGGCTTCTGGAACGCCATCATCTACCTTGTCACATCGTGGAAGGCGGTCCAGACACTGTGGAGCGATGCTTTGGACTTTACGCTGCCGTGGCAGTCCAGGAGCAAGCGCCGCGAACAGCAGACCCGCCACAACCGCCAGAGCCAGCACGCCGGCTCCTATCAGCGCCAGAGCAGCCTCGGCGGCCCGTCGTCCGACAGCAACGGACAAGGCGACAACGGGCGTTCCAGACCTATTATGATGAATACGACCAAGGGGCTTTCGGGCAAGAATGGCGCCTTCCACCACCACATTGACTCGCCGGCTGGCAGCAGCAGCAACAACAGCGACGAGATGCTGGACCAGATGGTGGGCGGCCGCCATGCCGGATCCAAAGCAGAAAAGAACTACGAGACCGAAAGTGTTACCGAGTTGGCAATCCACCGGCCGTGAAAACCGCCACTTCTAAGAGGATCTACCTTCAGTCGGTCTTGAGGATGGGCCAACGTCCGTTTGTATTATGATTGTTTTTCTATGGGCCCTCTGCTTTCGTCTCCTTTTTTTATTTCTTTTTTCTCGCATTGTACGATCACTTCCAAAAAGGTACAATGGGAATGCACGGCGTGGGGCTTCTTCTTTTTTTTCCCGTCTTTACCTGGGCCTGTATTGACCACCTTTTGGTTTCTACCTGTTGGTTTCTTTTTGGTTTGACTTCATGTTCATTACGCTCTTTTTGTTTACGTTTTGGTGCAGCTGATGGACCACCACTATTCCGTCTAGGCGACAGGACTAGTGTACGGCCTTGGTGCGATGGGATGGACATTTTACCATATCACGCCGACTACTTTTACTGGACTTTTGTTATGTCTTCTTGTTACTTTTATATTTGGGTCGCGCGGCCTCAAGCCGCAACCGTCAGTCTTTCCTTACTCTTTTCCCTGTACATACTATACCCCTATTCCAATGTCGCCTCCCAAATCGAACAGAGTTTTTCAAGCGTCTCCTGCTAATTCTCTTTTGCCTCCACACAATGTATGTACAGAGTTTTTCTCCATGCACGATGTACAAGTACGACGTAATACTCCGTATATTGCTGTCCATACTAAATTCAAGTCCCGGCCGATCTTGTACTCCATAGTTCTTTTCGGCCCCAACCACTTTTTCGAGTACTCTGCCCCGGACAGCGTTGCATCGAACTCGACCTGGCCGCCCAACGGCCAACCGGGCCTTCTTGTCCTCCTGTCTTCGTGCTCTTCCAGGCTCCTCCGACGTAAGCTTGCAGGGGCACGGCAGTCCCCTTGTACTGGGCCCTCTGTTTTGTCAGTCCTTTTTGTTACATCGGTCTTTCCACCCCGAACCGCCGAAAACAATGCCGTTTTCTTGATTTCCTCTTTTTTTTTAATCTTCGTAAGGCGTGACAGTTGTTGCAAAATTAACAAGAACAGAAATATTTTATATTCTCCGATTCCATACCAAAATATCCCAACATCCTCACGACACAATCGCAAGACCTGTCGATCGACCCCTCTCTCACAAGACTTTTGCCCACAAGAGGATAGACACAAACACTCCCGTACGCACACAGCTATTCCTTTGTATATTTCCCATGACCCACTGAGACACGTACTGCCAAAAGAGGAGGCAACGTGCGCTCAGTGTGCATAATTAAAAGACCCCCTGAAAGCAAGAGCGATATCGTACAAAAAAACCGCAGAACCTCCTTGGGCGTACACGAGTCGCTCACTGTCTCGGCCAGGAACCCGTCCAACATATTTCTGCGAGCTTTGAGAGGCGTTTTTTATACTTTTGCCTAATTATCGTGAACCGCAAGCGCCTTGGCGGCCTTACAGCTCAATAGTCTCTAGTGACCTCCTTCAACGTTTTTTGATTGTTCTCCACCCACCCCGGATTCCATCTCCAAAAAGAAACTATCGTATTTAATACGCAAAAACCATTCTATTCGGGCTTAGGCCCTCGCCTTGGGGGCCCATTTCCCGGTTGGCTGGGCCGACGGAACGTCCAAGTATGGGTGGCCGCCTGAAGAAGAAAGCACCGAATGAGGTCTTACAATGAAAACCACTGCTTTGGAATTGAACGAAAAAAGTGATCTAACGCGAAAACAAGCGCCTTCCCCGCGTGCGTATATGCCAGTTTGGGAAAAGAAAATCATAGACAAGCCTTTCTTCTCGCACATCGTAGTCCGTCGTCAGTTTTGTGGAGCCGCGTCAGTCGAAAAAAGGCACTGTTTTGTTTTTCCAGTACGTTGTAAGTACGACATGCTTGTGCCCTCTATAACACACACTCCTATTGAGCTTTCAGCAGTATGAAATGGAATTGCTTCAAAATGATCGATGGAAATGGAAATGGAAATGCTTAGAAATAACATGCAAATGCAAGATGATGAAAGGAGACAAACATACGATATCATGTCAAGCAATCCAATGCTGTCCGTCCTTTCTTCCGGCTAGAAACGGCTTGGTAGGATAGTCGTTGATGTCTTTCAGATTACGATGTACAGTTCGTAGGAGTAGGTACGATGTACTTCGTATGTGGGATTGAACGCATCTCTCTTCCCACTTCAAGTCTAAGTCACGTCCAGTAAAGACCTACTTACTCCTAAGTCGCCGACAGTATGTGTGGGGTAGTAATTACTCCGTTATGTCGTAGTCCTTCTGCACAAATGGAGTCGTCGCCGGGCGTCGCATTGCCCCTGACTATCACATACCTTGCCCCAATATTTTACTGGCTTTAAGTGAGTACTCTGTGTCTGACACTCTGACGAAAACACACCAGCAGTTGCAGAGCAGCGAGGCGTATCACATAGGCTCGACCGGATCTTTATCCAAGTGCATTCCATGTTCCCTGTATGGCGTACAATACCTGGCGAAAGTAATTTTTCGCGACGTGTCTATTTCGTCTCAGGCAGTAAATATGTCGTACGGAGGAACTGTTTGCTTATATTTTCGTTTGAGTTATAGATCCAGTTGCCTGTCAGTATGCTCCTAGAGGCCCTGCCTCTATTCCAGATGGCATTTTGTGTTCGGCCAGGGGCTTGTAGATTGTGGTATTACATTATTACTCCAGACATAAAGTAGATGAAAATGGAAACATGAAAGAAAGAAACATAGCTCCGTGCCCTAAATGAGAACAAAGCAGAAACGCCAGTACGAACGGTAAAAAGAAGACCAGCACAAGGCAGAAAATGGGCAAGTAATTAACCGGACGCACCGTCTCTAACTCACCACTCACAGCTGACTCGCAACATACCTTTCCTTCTTCACAGCATCCACGATGTGATACTCCCACACCGTCTCCAGCCGGAGGCATTCTTCACGACAGGCCTCATCCTCCCACCACCACTTGTTCGCCGTGACATACGGCCCCCAGATTTCTTGCCACAGCTTCTGGCCCACGAGACTTTGTAAGCGGCGTGGGTTTTTCGGTGGTGCGTCTGGCGCGGATAGTTCCGATGGCAGTTCTGACAGGTCTTCTGGAACGATCGGTGACTCTTGTGATGCCTGCTCTTGTGGCTGTGGTGGCGGTTGTTGTGGTTCTTGCGTCTCCTCCTGGTTTTTCCTCCTTTCTTCTTCCTTGAATACAGCTGAAAACGGGCAGACAACTTTAGAACCGGCACCGAGCTGAAAATGTGCGTCTCGCAACCATGTTGGAAACAGTCGCGTGGGACTCGTGCAGCGGAACTGCCGCTCCAAATTCAACAGCAAGTGCTCGTCGAGCCAGGCTTGCAGCCGTGGGCCGGTGGCGCTGCGTGCAGGAGTCGGGTCGATGAGGAGCAAGTGCAAGGTACCCTGTGGCGTGAGCGCCCGGTGCATATTGCGTAGAACGAGCGGGATGTCGCTGGCGGACACCAGGGCTGGCAGTGGTTGGACGTAGATGTCGGAGAAGGCCAGGGGCGAAGCGGACAGTGACGTGCACGAGAAGGCGGGAGACAACACGGGCACGACGTTGGGAAACAGGTTGTTGGAGAGCGGACTTGGCGACATGTGGTGGACAAGAGTGCCGGCGTTGAGAGCGGCAATGTATGATGCCGTAGCTATTACGGTTGTTCAGTATGACGTACAGTATTGGCTGACTCGAAACAGACGCTGCTAAGTGATACTCACCTTGGGTCTCAAAGAAGGCGAGGATACGGCGATCAATGTTCGTCACCGGAATACCCGCATCCGGCGCGGGATTGATGCTATACAAGGCCGATAACAGCCAACGTTTCCGGTCCATCTCAAGCGCCTTGTAAAGGGCTGCATCTGCCCATGTGCCCCATTGTTCGGTCAGCCGTTTCCAGAATGTCTCCGAGTCAGCCGAGGCCATTTTTTGGATCTCTTTTTGTATACCGGATAGACTCAGCGACAGCGATGTCAACCTGTCGTCCTCCTGTGCTGCGACGCTGGACGGGCTTGTTTCTTCTGTGGCAGCCCTGGAGGAGGAGCGGATAGTATTGGACGGGGATTTCGGTGACCGTGGCGTTTTGATGCCAACTTTGAGAGGTGTCGGAAGGCTGATGCTAGGTAGGCTCTTATTTTCCCATGATGATCTAGCATTCCAGGATGTTGCTGAATTTCGAACGGAGAGCGGCCGGATGTCAGGCATGTCGGGTGTACCAAAGGACTCAATTGGCTTGCCCAATGTGTGACGGGCCTGCAACTTCAGGTCGGGAGGATTCACCCGCTTCTTCTTTCGACGAGACGATGCTAAGCTCGACGGTGTAAGTGGTGATTTCGATCTGTATGTATGGATTAGTATAGTTGATATCGAACTTTTACCAGGGCCATTATATAAGTTTTGTATCTTACGGTTTCTGTGGCGATGCCATCGGTGTAAGCGGTGGAGCATGAGGTAGCAGAGCCTCGTCTCTATCATTGTCTAAACCTCGGGAGCTTGGTGTGCTCACTTCCTGACTGCCGTCAATGCGTAGTCGCAGAACTGTTTGTACAATATCACTCCCTGTGGTTTTTATTGACGTTGTTTTCTTGCCGTTCTGAGTTCTGAGTTCAAGCTCCATTTCCTCATCAACTGATAGCATCGTAGCGAGTGAGTTAGGAATGGTCCATTTGGACAAGATTGAATCAACTAGAAGCGATTAGTATAGGTAGTCGCGTAATAATAGTCTTCTTCTTCTTTCGATGTCGTTGGCCTCTTACCGTCAAGCGATGACCTGTTCTGTGAGCTGCTCTGCTGACCGCTGGCAATGCTTCCGGTACCGTCGCCACTGCTGTCTCTATACTGCACCGAAGCAGACCGGCCCAGACTTGATGCAAGGCTCGGTGGTGCCAGTACGGAGTCTCGATTGCCGGCCGTATCGCTAAGTCCGGAAAGTCGTGAGCTCGTAGATACCGACGGCGCGTCTTGCTTTAGCCTCTTCTTCTTGAAGCGGATGGACTCTAGAAAGCTCTGCGGCTTCCTGTTGCGAAGTGACGAGGTCTCTGTTTCCGCCGGTGCTGTTGAGCGGCCGCCGCTGCTACATGTGTCTCTTTGCTCCTTCTCCTTCTCCTTTCGTGCCTTTCTCTGGCCGACCAGCTCCCGGTTGGGGTTTGCCCATACCACATCGAACATGGTCGATATGTCGCCCCTGTTGTATTTGTCGTCTGCTGTATGTGGGGTAAACAAAAGGAAAATCGCCGTCGAAGGTATGTTACCGGTACCGATGGAGGAGGAGGTTGGATGGTGGATAAGCAGCGTTGGTGATCGATGACTTCAAAGAGAGAGGATGTGATATTGGTGGGTGAAGGGAGAATTTCCAGGCTTCCTTGTCAGTAAGCGAAGGAGAAGTAAGATACAAGGCATTGAGGCCGAGGCAGAGAAATGGGTGATAGGGAGATGCGTAAACCAAGCGAAAGAAGAGAGGGAATAGGAAGAGTGACTGAAATCTAATTAGAACATCCGAATAGCAACGTGCGTAATGCGTGTAACCGCCTGCATTCTAGGCTTCGTTTTGGTCTGTCAAGAAGCAGTCCAACGGCGTACCAAGACCGCCTATTTCGAGTCAAAACGCACCGTTTTTTCTTGGGTTGATACAGAGAGACAGAGAGACCGAGATCCTGTCCGTGGCTGCATATGTCTCCGACCATTCGAGAAAGCAGCCACCCGAAACCACAGTTCGAAAAGAAGAGGAACAGGAGAATGGAAACTGCAGAATGATGCTGACTGCGGGCGCGCCACTTGAGGGCAACATAAATAAACCAATGTAGAAAAAGTGCGAGGATCGCAATGGTCAGGAAGTCAGGAGTTGTCTTCCATCGGGGAGTGAAAGAAGTTAAGGCAGAAAGACGAGACGACGAAGGAAAATGTCCCGCCAACAGGATACAATCTGGGCATTGGACCGGCGTGCTCGACAAGCAGGTGTCTGCGACACGTTTTTACTCCTCTGATCCAGGGAAGAGAGCGTATGGAGTTGACAGCGGTCGCGAGATGACGGGGAAGGGGAACGAAAGGGCAGACGAGCCCGATGTACGACCATGGCTTAACTGCTCTTGGGGATTGTGCAAGGAAAGAGGGCTCGCAAGAAGGGGAAAACAAGCGACGTGAAAGATCAGACTAAAGCAAATCACAAAACTTTAAAAACAAAATCTGTTCCAAAAGCAACAAGAATGAAAGGGTTCAGGTTGGAGGCCAAAAAGGTGAGAAGAAGGTGAGGTGGGTCTGAGTCGGAAGTGAGAAACAATGTCGACGAATTCCAAAGTCACGACGATTGCAACCAACAAGTTCACAGAAACACCGGAAGGAGCAGTTTCCACGAGGATAAAATGAGCCAGGAGCTACCGCATGGCTCGCTCGCACCTTCCTGCGTGTCGTCTGAACACAAAGGCAAAATACTTCGTGGCAAGAGCCATCGACGCGTGCTCCTGCCCGTCCGAGAAGCAACAGAAAAAGAGAAGGAGCGCTTCTTTCGCGTCGCCAAACCGACCACCCAAAGACAAAGTCTTCAGAACTTCCGTGTCTCAACTCTCACACCATACCGCGAGCCGACACAAGCACCCACGATGTCGAATAGCCCTCTGCTCGACATTATCCTCCTCCCTGTCGTACACACGCCATCCGAACGCAGTACTACAACGAGGCAAATTCGTACAATAGGAGCTGAAAGCCAAAGTTCATACCAGTCTCCAGCAGCGACACATGGACTAGAAATGCATGCTTTCTTGCACGAAATGAAGTTCGTAGCTCGCTGGCCGACACTGGCCAGCCTCCCCAAGTTGTTTACTCACCCCTTTCTGCATCAAGACAGCCTAGCTTTCTTTGGCCTGACCATGGCCCTCGACAGGCACATCTAATTACTTCAGTTCGTGCCAACCGTGCCAAAATAGTCCCTTCAGTGTTCTAGATGCAGCTTTAGCGATTTATCTTTACCAGTCGACACTGCGCCACAGCCCCTCGTCAAACCATATGGGTCCCCCCGAGCGACGGTGCCACGGTTGCAGCCGGATCGCACGCAGTATCAAAAACATTTTGAACACAACTCAGGGTACAATATCACACACAATACAGCTGCAATATCGTATATATTTCCACTTGTCTCAGGGACGCCAAGTATAGGCGTGAAAGGAGTAATCTTTGTTTACAGCCGCGCCTTGACAAATCAAACGTAAGCTGCTATCAATTCCATCATCTGTTTTCTGCGACAGTCATTCCGGGATCCTTGAGGTTGTGCTTGTTGCTTGCTTCTTATTTACACAAAATGCTCTTTCTATCCGAAATATGACAAAGTATCAGGAGTCAAGACGGCGTACCATACGGGTGTCAACTATACCAAACAGCGCCACGAGCTTTCAGGATCACTTAATCGAATTTGAAGCCTAGATCCGCACCCATTCGAGCAACTACGTCCACTCAACGATTTCGAGAAAAAAGCTAACTCCTTTCACCCAATATACCCCTGGCATATTCTGCTCCCAAAAGACAGATTTCGGAAGGACGCTACCCACATCGTCTACGTGAGTGACAATCTCCTCCGATGAGCACCCATGGCACAGCGGATAGGTCAATGACTAACAAATATCGCCTAGGCCATGGGCCGACATGTTGGGTCTCGCCTCTTCTTTCCCCGAGCATCCAATTAACTGTCCTTTTCGTCAGGTGCAGAATCTGCCCGGCCCTGCAGCATCCTGTACACCGTGACACGGAGTAGCTAGACATGGCAGGACAGGCCAGGGCCGGGTGGTTTGGCTGGCACATTGATCGTGTAAGTGCGGCATACGTTCATCACGGGCAGTTTCTCCTCTACCCCTCCTGTCGCCCTTTCACCATACTGCCGTCCTCCGTTTTGTGCAGTGCGACCTCTGACCAGTTTCACCACGGAACACAGAAGACAATAGGTCCAAGACAGATGGGTTACACTGAAAATCAACAAGAACAATCCCGGGCCCTCGTTAGAGGTCCTTTTTAGGCTGCAGTGCCTTAAAACTTGTCGAACGTGCTAGGATCAGTCGGTGGTTTGATCTTGCGTCCCTCGAGTGCCTTTCATCTACTGCCGACACTACTATCCTTGACCTCATCGTTGATTCACCGCCACATGCCCACCACCAGCGAGGGCGCCATCGAGGAATCTTTCTGGCCGATGGCAAGCGAGATGTGCCACAAAGACAAGCCGTCATAAATTCGGACGCGTAATATTAGATATAGAAATGGTCTCCCAGGCGACGACCAAGCAGTGCCTAAGCAGAACACACGGGACGCATGACCCCTGAGTTTTGCTTGCACTCTTCGAAAGCCGCCCGGTTGTACTCTGCTGACCGGGGACGGCTGGATGAAGGGTGATAGATTAGGAAAGGAGCATCTTGGCCAGGAGATTGATGAGGAGACACATCTGTAGTAGAAAACAGGAACTTTCCAATGTTTTCGCGAGAGACAGGAGTCGAGGAGATAATGGAATAGGTGAGCGGTCCACGGAATTATATGAACCTGCTGCCCGTACAAACAGTCCCGGTCTGGGAAACGATCATCAAATATATCGCTGGATTTTGTCAGTATCACCTCGCTTCTTATCGTACAGTATGTGTATTTTGCTAGAGATTCCCCGAGGCAGTGCCGCAGTTGGTTTCGGTCTGTGTCTGCTGCTTCTGGCTATTTTCTTTTGTCCTTTTTTTTGTCTTTCTTATTTCGTCTGATCTAGTCAGTTGCTCCTTCTCTATCACATCGTTCTAACTTTTCGCCGTGTCAATTTTCAATACCACAAATTTGGCAGCGTGCCTTCCTAAACCGATACCCGCGCACCTTTCCTCCCCAATCTTCGCCTCTCGCTCACTCCCCGCTCTTCCGTCTCCTTCTCCGACCTCACACATTCTTTACCAACATACGCCCCCAGTCCTATCCTACACTCTTTTTCGTTGTCACATCCTCCACTCTCTGTACGTCTTAATGCACCTGCTACTCGGCACCGGACATATATCTTTTCATCCTACCTGTGTCACCTGGCCCTATTGACGAGTCCGCGCGCTGAGCCAACCTTCTCTCCTCCCCAGAACCTCGACTCGACGTCCACTTCCTCTCTCTCGGCCATCGTTTCCGCTATTTCACTTTCAAAGCTCTCTTTCTTTCTCATCTTTCTCTTGCAACTCAGCCTTGGTCATCTATGTGTGCCTCTGATTGACCGCCTTCGTGTTGCTTCCGACGCCACCTGTACTGCTTCAAGCCGGGGTGACTGCAGACATTCCTTCCGTCGTCCTCGATCGAGTTTTTACACGTCCTACTTTCTTCCTTTCCCAGTTAATTTCGTTTTGTTTTGATCTAATCTTGCCCTTTCTCCTCCTTTTCTTCCTGGCTTCAGTTCTGCCACTTTCACGAATTCTTGCTCGTTTTCTTCTTGTTAACCAGGATGGCCTGCTGCTTGTCATTGCTGTCATTCTGAACCACCTTCTCACCGTCTGCTGTGTCCTAACGACGAACCAGAATCCCACGGAAACTACACAGACCTGCCAATATGGTATTCAGCAGGTCCTCGCGAAGGAACCCTGTCGCTCAGTTGGCAAGCAGTGCCAAAGGCTGCCTTTCCAACGTGAATGAAGCTATCAACCGGTCAACGTTTGGCCGCATTTTCCGCCTGCGCGGCTCAGGACATGTGCGTTTATCTGAAAGTTATTGGTGGCCCTTTCTTATCTATGAGGCCATGGCCTGCTAACTCGAATCTGAATCTCAGCCCGAAGAGATCCGTCATGCAAATTTCGCGACAGAAATCCGCGCTGGCCTTACGACCTTTGCGACAATGGCATACATTGTTGCGGTGAACGTGAGATTCCTGTACTACTACTTCGAAAATGCCCTCCAAACCACATATCTCACCATGACTTACAAAAGGCCTCGATTCTTGTTGCAACAAACGGTACATGTGTCTGTGAAGACCCGAACAAGGACGGAACCTGCGCAGACCCCGAGTTCCAAGTCTGCCTCAACGGTACGGTGCTAAACAGGGTCTTCTCAATATTTTGCAGTGTACTAACTGTTGCTATCTTTAGAACTGCACAGGGATTTTGTGACGGCAACCGCCATCGTCTCTGGGCTCGCTTCGATGACCTTTGGATTTCTCACTAACATGCCTGTTGCTTTAGCGTAAGTGTTTCACCCAATTTCAAGGTAACTTCGTGCAAAGCTTCATGAGGGGGTTAACATTTTCACAGCCCCGGAATGGGCCTTAACGCATACTTTACGTACCAAGTCGTAGGAGTAGGAGGGACCGGCCCTGTTCCGTACCGAATTGCTCTGACGGCGGTTTTCGTTGAAGGATTCATCTTCCTCTCCCTGGCACTAACCGGCATGCGCCAATGGCTCATCCGCATCATCCCGGGGACCCTGAAGACGGCAAGTGGTGTTGGCATAGGCATGTTTCTTGCCCTGAGCGGCATGTCCTACACGTCTGGCATCGGTATTATCACGGCCGGTGGCGTAGCGACACCCCTCACGATCGGAGGCTGTCCTGTGGAAGATCTCGATATCGACGGGACCTGCATGGCAAACGGGATGCGGAGCCCAAAGGTGAGATATGCCTGCATCTTGAGACATAGCTGCACCTTTACGGATTAATTTACTAATATCTCGCAATCACAGATGTGGCTTGGTATCGTTAGTGGACTCATCACTGCCCTTCTCATGGCATTCCGTGTCAAGGCCGCTATCATCGTCGGTATCGCCATCACAACTATTATATCTTGGCCGTACGTGCTCTCCATCTATCTTCAATCTGCGTACATAAGCTAACATGGTTCTTTATGATTAGCCGCAACACGTCTGTAACCTACTTCCCTTACACAGACGAAGGTGAGGCGCGATGGGACTTCTTCAAGCAGATTGTTGCGTTCACTCCCATCAAGCACGTCCTTGCGGCCCAGCAGTGGGATCTGAGCGGTGCCAACGGTGCGCACTTTGTCATGGCCCTTTTCACTTTCCTCTACGTTGACATTGTCGACTGTACTGCAACGCTCTACTCCATGGCGCGCTTCAGTGGTAAGACCGGTTCCGATGGCGACTTTCCACGCTCCACAATTGCCTACTGCACAGATGCGGCATTCATCTCAATCGGCTCTATTTTCGGATGCTCCCCGTCGACCGCCTTTATTGAAAGCGGTGCCGGTATTACTGAAGGTGGCCGCACGGGTCTAACCGCCATTGTGACCGGCCTCTGTTTCATCATATCCGTCTTCTTTGGCCCCATTTTCGCCTCCATTCCGCCCTGGGCGACTGGGACAACACTGATATTGGTAAGCGTATGTCCCTTCGTTGGCCATTGGTTCAAGCAGCTACTAACAACTCTGCAGGTAGGTTGTCTCATGATCCGGCAGGTGACGTTTATCAACTGGAGCTACATTGGTGACGCCATCCCATCATTCATCACCATTGTGTTTATGCCCTTTAGCTACAGCGTAGCATACGGTCTTATGGCGTAAGTATAAGGTGTTTTTTCGTCCCCTTTCCTTTCGATCCCCGTCGAGTCACCGTACTGGCAACCTAACGATTGCACAGTGGCCTCTTCGTCTACGTTACCCTGAACAGCCTCATATGGGTTGTGATGCGGGCAACTGGAGGGACCGTCGAGCCGCGCGAGTACGATCTCAAGGAATATTGGACGTGGAAGCCGGCAGGTATGAAACCAGCCGTGTTCCGTCTATTTACGCGAGACCGGTACTGGGGTGACAAGGAGAGTCTGCACGAAGACGACGATGCATTCATCTTCCCCGACGATAGCAACGCGCAACCACTGCACGATCTACAGACTACGTCGGCGCCTTCGCCGGCCGAGAAGAGCCCTAGTTCAATCCATTCCACAATTGAGCCGCCGCCTAAAGCTATCGTTGCAAGTCACCCGCACGCGTGAGGACTGACGACTCAGGACAACGGTCCCCCGAGGAACCCACATTAAATTCAGCAGCAAAACAGGTCTATTCATGTCAGCATGGGTCTGACAGGTGCCATCGCTAGGTCAGGCAGATAGGGGGGATGAGTATTGTAAGGAGATAAATGTCAACGGCAATAGACTAACGAAAGAGACGAGGAAGTGAGAGGATGGTAGGTAGGGGAGGAGGGTCACTGGCAAGATCTGCTAGTATATGAAGCAACATGATGTTGATGGTGGTGTGTCTTTGTACAGATACAAACAACACAGCGCACTGGATTAATGAAATGCCGAAGCCATCCCACGCATAGAAGCCATTGCTGCCAGGCGCAAACACTAAAGTTTTACAACGGGTTAGCGGTGCCTTCCGCCACCATTATGACGTGCAAAGTTGTGACCCACATATCGTAGCTCTTCCCCCCAGATTGCAACTTTGGTGATTTTGGTGGGTCTGCTCAAGGCGTAAGTTTCCGTCGGCAGGTTGTGCTCTGAAGCTTTCGCCTTCTGGAACGTCCTTTTGCTTTTTCCGCTTTTTATGCATATCACCGACCAACAACCAACACCCTGGACAACGACGAACCACTCACAACCAACGAGACATCCGCATCACCTGCATTGCGTCAAACCCGTGTAATACGCCCGTGCCTAGAAACCTTCCTTACCTGTCTTCCATTGTGATTTGTCACCGTCGCCGCAGACCCCAAACGAGACATATAGACAGCCAGCCTTGCATCTAGCACACGACCGGCACGAATACGATACAGAGTGAACTCAACGAACAATCTTGATTACAAAGCGTGCGAGGAGGACTCGCAGCGCTTCACAATGAGCGGCGGGTGGAACACAAGTGAGTTCTGGGGCCGATGACCAAGGACGGATGACAACAGGACGATGTTGCTTTGAGCCGGGGGGTTGGAGGCGGCGGCTTATCCCTACATTGGTCACGTTTTCCTAGTTGCCCAAGACTGACCCCAATGCTTTCCCTATTGACTAGTCGAGTCCGATGCGGGCGTCTTCACGTACCTGCTCGAAAACCTCGGTGTCAAGGGTGTGCAGTTCGAAGAGCTCCTGTCGCTCGATGCACAAGCCCTCGCCGAGCTGAACCCGGTCTACGGCGTCATCTTCCTCTTCAAATTTCCGACCAATACCCCATACGTCGGTGACAGCGGCGCACCGCGCGACGGCAAGTTTGACCATGCCGCCTCGGAGAAGATATTCTTCGCCCACCAGACCATTCAGAACGCCTGCGGCACACAGGCTTTGCTGTCTGTCCTCCTCAACAAATCGGCCAGCGTCGGCGGCGATGTCGACATTGGCCAGCACCTGCGCGACTTTGGCGACTTTGCCATGGCCCTGCCGCCCGACCTGCGCGGCGAGGCGTTGAGCAACGACGAGCTGATCCGCGACGTGCACAATTCTTTTGCCAAGAGCAGCCCCTTTGTCGACGAGACGCAGCGGCCCAACAGCCCGGACGATGCCGAGGACGTTTTCCACTTTATTGCCTACACCGCCGTCCATGGCCGCCTTTACGAGCTCGACGGCCTGCAGCCCGCGCCCATTGACCACGGCGCTTGCGACGAGAACAACGCTGTCGAGTTTGCCGAGCGCGCCCTCGAGGCCGTTCAGCGCCGCATCGCCCGCTACGGTGCCGACGAGATCCACTTCAACCTCATGGCTGCCGTGCGCGACCGCCGGCTGCAGGCGCGCGAACTGGGCGACACGGAACTGCTGGCGCGGGAGGCGCGCAAGCGACGCGACTGGCAGTTTGAAAATGCGCTGCGGCGGCACAACTTCGTGGGCTTTGCACATGAAGTGCTCGAAGGAGTTGTGGAGGGCAAGCTTCGAGAAGGCGAGGCCGAGGGCAAAGGCGACGCAGCATACCAGACATGGGTAGGCAATGCCACGACACGCTTTGAAAGGCGGATGCAAGACAAGCAGCGAAGACGGAACCCTGGTGGTGACGATGTACAGATGGAAGGGTAGACAAAGGATGTGGAGGACATGGACATCGCAACTAAGCGTGTGTTCTCGTTTTGCTTCTATTTGTGGCTTCGGCCGTTTGTAAATCAAGCGCCATGACTTTTGCCATCATACAACGCACCGGGATTCGTGTGCGTTGTTCACTTTTCCGTTTGCGTTTACTCGTTCATGACATAGATTTGGTTTTAAATGCTACTCGTTCCATCCCATGCTTTCTTCACCGCTAAAGTCATTTAAAAGGGGAGAACACTTGTTTTGCACGGATCAATGCAAGCCACAGTTAAGAAGCAAAAGAGAATGAAATAATAAAGTTGAATCGCTGCGTCGGAGAATATACAAACAAGTGTCGGAAGCGTTCTGTGGCGTGTTACGCGAGAAGTCACGGTGTCGGTCCCCGGACTGTCCTCCCCGCAATACTAAAAATATACACAATAACTATTCAACCTCCATCAGTGGCCAAATCCCCATGCAAAGCCAACCTAAGAATCGTTGCTCGAGTCTTCACTCGAGCCTTCGGAACTTTCGCTGGAGCTCTCATCGTCGTTTTGCTGCGGCTGCTGCTGTTGTGTCCGTGTCGGCCGAGGAGTAGTTTGGCTGGAACTACCGTATAGTTGTGCCGATCCGCCCCACATAGGAGCCGCCGACGTAGCTGCCGGTGCATTACTCTCAGGGACCGCTTCGACCGGCGATGCCAGTGGAGATGCAGGCGCATCAAGTCTTGCTTCGCGGCTATCCGCAGGCAAAGAATCACGGGACGGGTTCGGCTGGGAGGTCACGCGATTGTTTGACGGTCCCGGTTGGCTGTTACTGTCGTTATCGGTGGCTGTGCGGCGGCTGGGATCGTACTGATCAAGAGGCACCAGCGACCAGCCCGGTGGAAGTTGTACACCAGGAAGCAACTCCGAGTTTCCTCTGACAGGCGGGGCACTCCCGAACTCGTCGCCAAGCTCTCCTGCGCCGACAGCCGCGCCCTGATCAGGGCCACTGTTCGAACCATTGTCCAGTGTCGTGGTCATGCCTGGCCACTGACGGAAAAACGATTCCGCCTGATTCAGCGCAGCCCGCTCTTGTTCGGCTGAGCTGGATACATCGGGTGCATCCGGCGCGGCGCTGCTGCCTAATGTTGCAGGCGCGTCCTCTTGGGGAGCCTGGGCAGGCGCCCGTTCCGTCGCATTCGTCGTACTCACATCCGGTGCCGCCCCTGTGGATTGTGCTACAGTCTCCGTAGCTGCTACGGCTGTTGGATCTGCGGGACCAGTCGGGTTGAGGGGTACGGTTGGTGTTGGTTCGGGTGCCGTCGTTGGGATATGCTGCGTGTTGCGAATGCGTTGCAGCTCGGTGAGCATGGTCCGCAGGGCCCGGGCTTCAGCACTTGCCAGCTGGAGCTCAATCGTGCCAAGTTCGATACGCCGCTCAATGGACCGGAGGTCCTGGAAAATGGACGCAGTCGAGGTAGACTGGGACATTGTCGAGGATGGTGTAGCATGCGGGACGTGGTGCGCGAATGGAGTCGGGGCAGCACCGAAAGCAGGTGGGCCACCAGCAACGCCGGCCGGTGCCGCTTGATTGTTGACAGGAGGGTTGCCGCCGGCGATGGCATTAGGAAGACCGAGCCGTTGTGCCATCTCCTGGATGTCGCGCGCGCCACCTTGGGCAAATCCGAGACGCAGCGGTCCGATGTTGAACATTCGCAGGGCCGGACCACCGCCACCGTTTGGAGGCGGCGGCGGGTGGGGATTGTGGTGGTTCACATCGGCACCGTGGCCCGGGGCACCCGCTGCCGCTCCGGGAGCAGGTGCTTGGCCATTGACGGCGGGTAGTGCCGGGTTTTGCAACGGGTTGGCTCCGTTAGCTGCAGGCGGTGCACCCGCGACACCACCTGCACCTGCAGCTGCACCTACTCCAGCACCGGCGGGATCAGCACCCGCTGCCCCAGCAGCTACAAGGTTCAACCTGAACAGGGCATTATCGCGATTCCGGTGTGCGTTGGACGCGTCGTCAATGACCACAGACCGACGACACGTAGGGCACACCTGTTGTCGCTCCATCCAGCTCTTGAGACAGCCCAGGTGCAGGATATGGCCACAGGGAAGCTTCTTGGGGCGGGTGCGCTCAATGCGCGCTGGGTCGTTTTGGTTCCACACGTGCATGTCTTCGCGGCAAATTATGCACGTGTTTTCGCGGTCCAGGTCCTGTTCGGACGCATCCTCATACCGGTTCATATCCTTGATCGCCTGGCGGTACTTCATCAATGCACCCAGCCGCTTGATAAAGGACCGTACCGTCATGAACAGATCCCTAATGATGTGCAGGGGCAGGCCAATAAAGTTCAGAAGAACAATAAAGAAGACGGCATAAATGCAGAGTTTGGTAAAATCTGGAGGGTTGGTGTTAGTGTGTGGTCTCATGTCTTTCCTAATAGCTGGGGGCGATCGCCTCTTACCTGTCCAAAGGTCGAGGCCAAGAATGTACTGGCCCTTGGCCTCCCAGCCCGCCACTTCAATGTCCATCTCGTCCACATCATCTTCGTCTGGCAACTGCTCATTGTCTTCCTCGGTCTCCAGTGCCGCCACAGCCCCTTCGCCGCCTTCTTGTCCCGTGGCCGCTGCCGCTTCGGCTGCTGCGGCTGCCTCTTCACGCCGGCGGATAATTGCCGCCCGCTCTTCTCGAATCTCACGGCGCCGCTCGACCAACCGCTCCTGCGTCTGGCGTTTGATGATGCTTATGTCCAGCAGGATGATGCCGTATCGCAGCGCAGTGTGTAGTGACGTGACGAGCAAGACGGCAAACTCGAAGAGGAACATCACCATCATGTCGGACTTGGCCTGGTCAATCACAGTCGACACGGCATAGTACAGCAGCCAGGCATCGTACACCAAGCTCAAACAGAGCGAGACGATGAGGCGAGTGTGGAACAAACGCGGGTTGGTGGGCGGCTGCTGCTCGAGAGCTTCGATGCGGCCTTCGCCAATCCAGCCCCAGACCTTGCCCGTCAACAGGGCGACAAACATGACGATAAAGAAGCCGCCAATTTCGTCGCGGAACATGGTCATGGCCAAACATGTTTCGGTGACGGCGAACCAGGCTTTTTCGTAGAGCTGCTCGACCTCGACGGCGCGGAGCTGGCCGAAGCAGACACGCTGGAGGCTGTAGACAAACGTCGAGTAGATGAGGGCGATGAGGTTGACAAGGATCTGCGGAGAAGGGAAAGGTAGTCAGCATAGGATCATGGGGTCATGGGGGGAACTGTGTCGAGGGGCCAAAAACAAACCATCATGCACAGATTGCTCTGAAAAAGATAGACCATGGCTGAGTAAAAGTTGGCTCGTTGGTGGAAGGCGGACAGCACAACGCCGGTAGCCAGGACCGTCGAGGCCCCGGCATACCACTCCAGACGCATCATCACGGTGTGTTTTGGGAGGGGCCGATAGTGCCGGGGTCGAGCGTGGTGAGCGTAAAAGCAATGGGCGTTTCGAAGCAGCTCTCGTTCAGATGCTCAGAGGGAGCCACAGCATCAGGCTCACAAAGAGCATTGGAGTAACTTCAGTCAGCGGCCCAGAGATAAGAATGAAGGACGATATCGTTGTAGCAGTTCTCGGCGTTGCAACAGCAATCGATGCGGCGAATGAAACAGCTGGCCAGAGGCTGTTATATAAACGCGAGTCAAATAAATGAGAGTCGACAGGACAACAGGGGAAATGCCGACTCGAATGGAGTAAAAGGCCGGCTTTCCTCCACAGTAGCAAATAAACCCTTGTAACAACATGCACGTACTGAACAGTGATGCCGGTGCTGCTGGTGATGGATGTTGTAGTTGGTTGCGGACAGAGAGGCAAACAAGCTACACGTGTTAATCGAACCGATGATGAAGCCACTTGGCGATCGCGCGTTGTTGGGGACCTGATGCCCCTGTAATTGAGTTAACGGCACGTGATAGCTACCCAGCGCTAGTCTCAAAATGGTCGCCTGCTTGCGACATTTCACGGGACTGACAAGGCGCCCCACTATTACACGTCAATAATACACTCCTCTCATTGGCCAAATTGGCCTCAGCCTTGCGACTTAACAGCCTGGCGACCTCTGGTCGACATGCCGCATTGCACTGTTTATGGTTGTGTCAAATTATGACGATATACATGATAGGCACTACGAATCAAATATTTGGTTTATATGCCGGCATTTTTTTCTAACATTTTAAAAGTCCTTGTGTACGTGAAATGTGTTACGTGAATAATTCATCCAATATTTTTGAACTAGCCACAGTAAAAAGTTAAGTTTATGTAGGTCCTTACGTGTTTGCATCAAGCAGAAGATTTATCTCCCGTCTCTGCGAGGTGACAAGTCACATTAGAACTTTTTCATACTAGCCATACTCATGACAACTACCGAAAATTGCTGCCTTACATATTCAGTTTGGCATGGTTGAACACCAAATAAGCGGAGGACCGTCCATTGCAAACCCGCGTCGAGCAGCATACGTTTATATACTGGACACTCGCTTGGATATTTTATAGGCACGAAAAAAAATTATACCAAAGAGAATGAAAAACGATTAATGTATACCCTAGAGCCATTGCATTGGTATGGTATTAGTCAAGGAAGGTGACTGTATGTGTACGATGATTTCCGGGGCTGGCAAATTGATTTGTATTTGTTGCAAGTATTTTGTGCCTTACACCTGAGACAATAAATTGTCCGCAAATATAGCGATAATACACCCGAGTCTGTTCTTTGTCAGGACATAGGTGCTTGTGTCTTGGCCATAACCTGTAGCTTACGGCCCGGACGTTGCCTTGAATCAGGAGGCATGTCGCTTTATTTATTTCAATAAACTAACATGAGGACTAATGTAATTATTCAAAAAACTCCACCGTGGATATAAAATACAGAAACGAAAGTTGTATCGAGGAAAAGGAGGCATTCAGACCAATAAGACAGTATATCATAAGTAGGGCTGCATACAAAACCACGGCATATGGCCGGCTGCTTAATGTACGAACTCTTGGTTGAATCCCGCAGGTAGGTAGTAAAACGCGGTGAAGGGCTAGCAAAGCAGAGAAGCTTACAAATATATGATTTTCTATGGAAAAACATGGACACGACAAGATCTGGTGACGATGTTGACGGCGATACCGGGTATAAACGCCGATTTCGAAGTCCGGAAAGCAAGAGGCTTCCGGCGTCGATGCTCCCGGGCAACGCAAAATTAGATTGTTGACATCGTCAGCTTAAGCATATGCCGTATATTGACAATATTGACCTCTTTTTCTCCTGCGTGGATATAAACGGGGTGGAGTGGACATGGCAGAAGTTTGCAATGTTGATGTCCACAAAGTAGGTTCAGGATATCCACGCCTCTCAGACTACGCAAACGGTGTGCTGGACATTTTATCATAAACTGACTGTTTTTGTAAGCAGTCAAGGGTCCTCGTTTATTTGCTACCGGGAACCGGGCATTTATACGCCGAAAGCGTGATACCTACAAGCGTTCACATGGTATAAACGGCGATACTAAATCAATGTTTGTTCATGAGACTACGGCAAGCCGGCCCTCTCCAGTTTTTCCTGAAACGAACCTGCTAACCTCAGTGCTTTAGAAAAAGAGAGACGACGTGCAAGCTGCTGGCATTGTCAAGAAGTGTTTCTTGTCGAATCGGGCAAGCAACCACCGCCAACGGAGTAGAGATGTCTGCAGGACAGTTTGTGCACCGCCTGGAGAGGCTTGGTATGAATTCGAAGCCCATTGCAGTTACTCTCCGGTAGAGTCGTGCTTTCCCATATCGTTAGGATCATATTACAAGAAACAAAGGACTTCTAGACCGCTCGCTGGCCTTGGGGATATGCAGAGGTGAAACCAGAACAAGTCGAGAAAACAATACCAATGCTCGTATGTATCTAGGCATCCTACGACGCATTTTTGCTTTGCTTTGTGGATGCCAGCTGCCGGTTTAATGCATGCGACTGGTCGTATCCACTACGAGGCCTCCTGCATCGTTTTCGGCGTTCTGTTCTTCTCTGTCTATGGTGTCCCTCTCGCAGCGTGCATATCCACGGGCATGACCTTTGACATTGTTTGCAGCTTTGCAACCCTCTGGTCTGTCACAGGAGACCGGTCTCCACCGAACAACACCCCCTAAGTACCCCACTCCATTGCATATTGCACTGGTGCTCTGCACCATCTTTCATGGCTCGGTCCTTACTGGATGCACGACAGGTTCTGTCTTTTCCCTCTTCCAAAAATGGTGACGAATCCACATGTGTCCGTCCTCTAGGCGCTACACCTTCGTTGCCCTCGAAGGAGTGGTGCCGTTAGACGAGCCTGTCTTTTCTTCTCTTATCTCTATGGAGAGGGTGTCGCTCCACGCGAGGAGGTGCACAACAATTCTTCGAGAAGCAGCGGTCAAGACGCACATATCCACAACGACGTAGGCGCCTAGGTTGGTGTTGTGATTTGAGACATGGATGAGAGAAAAACGAGGGAGGGGTGCCGAGTAGAGGTCGAGTGGAAGCAAAGTAAGAAACAAAGAAGCCCCAGATATCTCTCCGAGGTCTGAAGCGATCGTCACTGCAGAGCCCAGACGCAGGTTGGGACGCAGAGCATCCGTGGCAAGCTGTCCTCCACATATTGGGACGCACTGAGCACATCCGACAATGTCTGGCCATTTGCAAGGCCATTTGAAAGGCCATTTGCAGGGCATGGCCCTGGCGTGTCACGGCCTGGGCCGGTCTCGTCCCCATAGGCCAGATGCCAGACGCCGACACTCGAGACAACAGAACTTGGACCTTCTCGGCGAGCTAGTGGTCAACTGATACGGCGGCACAGTGTCGAATGGAGGTCCCGAAAAGGCAGACGGAACGACGGGACGCCTCTGCTCATGCAACTATCAGACCGTTAAACAACTGCACGAATGCAGAAGTGATTTAGTAAAGGGAGGGGGAGGCGACTCCGCTCTCCGTTCTCCGCGACCTCGAGTGTGGACTCTGGGGTTTCGGTAGACAAATGACATTTTGAGAGGGCGAGAAAAGGGCGAGAAACTCAATGTCCCTCTTGACGTTCTTTGTGCGGCGATCTATCAAGGGAGAAAGACAGTTGTTCTGTTTTGTGCTCATACTTGGACCCGAATTCGTGATGTTGCGAATCTAGACAATCCACGGTGGCCCATGATGTTCTATTTTTTCTGTTTTCGTCAAACAAAGGTCGTATTATGGGTGTCAGTGTGTGTTATTTTTGATTTGTTTTGGTATTAGTTTTTATTCTCCGAATGAAGGTCGCCGACCTCCTTCGCAGGGACATTCCGAAAGTGGGGGAGAAATGCGAAGACGACCAACCAAATCTGCAAGTTCAAGACACAAAAGCGGAATAGGGGCCAGAATGGGGCGACACGCTTTCCCTTTTCCCTCACCCCCTAGTCGCTCCTTCTGTGATGTGCGGTCGCTCTTGCTCTTCCGCGTCCCGCCTCTTGCCTTCTTTGGACATGGCGTGTTGGGGGCACCCCACCATTCAAGGCGTATTGAGGTCGCATGTTGGTCGCTCTTTCCTGGCATGGTTGGTTGGCATCAAGCAACAGGCTCTCATGATCTCAACCTCATACTTGTCCAGTTCTGGCCACACGGTGGGTAGGTCTGGCAAGAGACCGCCCACTTCCCGGGCCGCATACTCGGGTTGTTCTGGCCAGCAGCACTCATACTTGGAAGGTGCATTTGACATTTGGTCCGTCTCAGCAGATCCATCATAGTCTTTTAGGAAAGACTGATGAGAACTGTAACACGTCGTGAATGGATTCATGGGCGGTTTGGCATCGTCGCATGCTATTGGTTTCGTCTGTTGGGCCACTGGAAGCCCTCGTTTTGGTAACTATTCGCGCCCATGTTACCCTCCTTTCTATCCTGTTGTTGGCATCTGGTGCCTTTTGTACCCCTGCCACACCCTGTCACCACCCCCGTCCAGTCCGAAAATCCATAAACCGTACTGTCGGGACACCCGTTGTGACTGGGATTAGGGACCTGATGTGGCAGGCTCTCTCGGTTTATTTACTCATTCAACTTAATATTTACCATGCACGTTTCTGTCAGAGTTGCCTTGCTCACCATCGCTAATCTTGCCTCTCTTTTTTTCTTCGCTTTTCTTTCGTTGCTTTTCTTTTTATCAATGTTATTTTCTTTCGTTTCGTATTCCGTATTCCTCACCTCCTCGTACAGGCAGTGTTACATCAGGCCTGGGGGATCGACGCCGATGATGTCAGTCTCTTCATTAATTATTTTTTTCTTGACTGGATATCGAAATAAACCCCCTCTTTGGTATTGGATATTTGTCAAAATCACAGGGTCGGCCATGCCCCAAATCAAAGTACACCGCTTATCGTGCTTTTCGGACGCAGTAAAAAGACGAGAAACTGCAGAGTCACAGAGGGGACATGTCGTGGGGTTGCAGTGAGTGTGAAGCCTGCATACAGTATTCAGCTGGACAAGGCACATTTTCACCCAGCGATGCTTTTTGATTGTTTGTGTTGTCCTGCGGCGGGAACGCAGCCTGAAGTGATCCTCTTGCCGATGCAACGCTGTGTTGTGCTCGAATATCAAAATGCACTTCTGGGGCCTCATTTTGTGGTTCATCGGACGGCCAGGAGATTCCGAATTGCGTGTCGATACATCTTGGAATGGACGACAGTTTTTAAGTCTTTTGTGTGTCTCTTCTTTTTTTGCTCCTTGACATCCGTCATTTTCTACCTGACCTGGACAGGGACGGGAACATAACCATTCAACGTGGACGGCTACTGGCCAACCCAGGCCTGCATCTTCATCACACCTACTCATTCTCTGTGCAGGTTTGGTGCCTAGGCCCATCAGAGTGGGGGGGGGGGGGCTAGTGTATTCATCAAAATTGACGAAGCAGCACATCTGGTGTCTGATTGGACAGTTGACGAGCCAGTGCAATTTCCTGATAATTTTTACGGCCCGGACCCGACTGCATCCTTCGCAAGTGTTGAGAAGTACTATCTTGTACTCTGTATGACAGCACGACATCCTCACGAATCCATAGACAGTCTAGCATTCCGAATTATGAGGTGTTTTGTCACGCTGCAGGGCCTTTGTTTTGTACGGCAACCTGGACTTGGTTCCGTTGCCCAAGGATTGTGTTGCGTGGGAATTGACATGAATTTCGTAGGCTCCAAAAAGCCTAAACAAGGCGCATTTGCGACCCAGATGTATTACCACGTATGGTGAGATGTATTTGCAGTTTACATACAAACTACTCGTATAAGCAATATACTATAACTTTAGTAAACACAACATAAAAGCAGGACAACCTGGTACCCGGTGCGAGCCTGACGCTTGGTTGTACCACGTACAGGCAATGCCATGGAATGATTTCTGCAAGTACGATAAAATAGATATCAGTTGACAGACAGGGAGCTGCCAGGCAGCTCGCTGTGGAACATTTGAGACCTTAGCCGACCCCAGCAAGATGTGAACTGACTGCTGCTTCTGTCGGCCAAGTTTGCCGCCCGCTTAAAGCTGCCCATTGCGAAGAAAAGAAAAGGAGTGACAAATTTATGAAATCTGCTGGAAACTAATAACCGCGTTGAGCTATTATTGACCAGAGCTTTGCTTTGCAAGCAACAATGACCGAGGTTCGTTACAGAACGAAGATTGGACCAACCGTATTGGACTTGAAGTAAGGGATGATCACAGCTTCTTTTGACTCTGGTTTCTCTGAGCCTGCGCAGAAAGCATCTTTCGACTCAAACAGTTGCGTAATTGCCAGTAGTTTTCTAACACTCGCTCGTCCAAGCTCGCATTTACCACATGTCCTTTTGTCTTTTTGTTTCTACCACAAAGAGCACATGATCTTTGCACGAATTGGTTGTCGGTGAAGCTCCTGAGATAGGGCGATCCTAAAGTGAGGGGAAGTTTGCAATAGGTCACCTAGGAAAGCAGTTCGTAATACAACCGTAGTTCACTAAGAAATCCCGCCTCGGGAAGGTCAGAACTCAGAACTATGAAAGAAAAGAAAAACAAAATAAGAAAAGAGAAGAGAACTGAGGAGAGAACTGGGACAATAGGGAATCATGCGCGGTACAGAGAAGGATGTGCTTTGTTTGGAGACACCCCTTCTCCTTATCGCCATCTGTTTCAGGGTTAGGACTTGAGATGCTGGTCACGGTACATAGAACTTGAGCGACCAAAGTATATCTTGTCTCTTTTTTTCTGGCCACCTCTTCTTCCCGTTTTCAATAACCGGTGGATGCCCAATTTATGCAACGCAATATACATGTTTTTCTCCTGGTCTGTCCTTTTTTTTTTGCTCTCTTTCTGTCTGTCTTTCTCTCTTTCTTCTTTCTCTTCTGTTAGGTTTCTTTGGTCTCAGGTTTTTAAATAGTAAAAAACAGACACATACCATGCGCCGTACACAAAACATGACTTTCCGTGTGCAGGCTTTGAATCCTACAGTAGCAATTTCCTTCTGCCACTCTTCTTGCTTGCTTGCTTGGCGAGCTTGGTTAGCAGTGGGTTTAAGACGCCATGAATGAGAAACGCCTCGTTGCATCCGTCTTCTACCACCTATTGCTAGTGGGACACAATATTAGGGGCGCCAAACTTTTCGGAGGTTAAAAGGACAAAATGCAAAGTTAGACGCTGGTAAATTGGTGACATCTTCCGTAAGGCTTGCATCCTGTTTGTCTGGTTCCCGCAAGGATACGAAAGCCTTGTTGGGTCGGGGTATTGGGGAGTGGTTTAAGAAAAATTAAGACATGCAGGTGCTATTTAAGTCTTGAGAAACGGACATATGGAAAAGTGTAATACGGAGTACAAAGTTCGTTTTCCTCATTGGGAAATTGAAGTGTTCCGCGCGACGATCATGGAACAGGGGCAGGCCATGCATTCCCAGGCGGTGTGCCCAGACCAGCCCACATCCAAGCCTGTTTGATCACAGAACCTGGTTTGGGTGGACAAGGACATGGGGTTGAACTTTTGAATGTCATTTTTGGGGTTTGTTCTGGGACTTGTTCTGTTGCAGCAAAGTTGCCTCTCTGGACTCCTCTATTTGACTTTTTCGACGACGTAAATGTCTCTTCTCTGTCACTCTGTAACTACCCATCCAACTATGATGTGTGTTGAAGTCGGTGTCTCCGTTGCGAGATGCTCAACGTCATTGCGAAATGCTGGAACGTAAATTGTTGGCACTACATAAGGCGCCACAAGCACCATAGCCCAATGTGAAAGTAAAATAGAAGAAACAAAAAGCCTGGTCTAGACCACCTTTCGTTTTGCCAAGGCAGATGCCCTCTCTTTCAAATACGATGCTGGGACGGCAATTGGGAAAGCTCATCGAAACTAACGAGACGGTTTAACCCAACCGTTGTATGTTTTAGCCCTTGGAAATGCGAACAAGGAGACGAGAGAAAAGAACAACCGCCTGCAACGGCCCACGAAATTGGAGGCCTGTGCTTTGGTTTTGCGCTGGCTCTGTTTTACCACCGGCCACGCCAGAACGACCAAACTCTTAAGCACACTCTCCAGACGCCTTATGGAAAATCAGGTTCGTCGGAGACTTTTCATGACAAGCCCCTATTTGCAGATCATGCGTATGCAACGAAATAGGAGTAGTTGCAATGTCTGTGCTGAGTTTGTTTATGCATGTTGTGAAGACGCATACACACTGGAATTCGAAGACACAATTTTTTTTGTTCAAAAAAGGTGCACATTTTGTCCAAATATAGCATACGAGCGATTGTGAATGCTATCCTAAAACCCGTACCACCCTTTGTGCGTCGTAAGGTTGCAGCCAAAATGATGTTTGGCTGCTTGGCTCAACCCTTTGCGCTAGCCATAGCCTTTATCGCCTCCCTGATCCTGCCACAGTCCCGTGCTGCGCAAGCCGGGCATGTGTGCCTCTCATTCGCTCATTAGAGGACGACAAACCCGACAGCTCGGTCGCGAAAGGCGGAGTCTGCAGAGCCGTTTTCAATGTTGGTATTTTCGTTTTCCCCTGTTGCAGCGTCACATTTACCCTCTGGTCAAGTGCATGTGTTGTAATCCCGCCTTGCGGCAGGCCAAAAGCCCACTGCGCCTCCCCTTTCTCGGTTTTACGAGTTGTTGGATTGGTCGTCTGGTATTATTGCATGGTGGGATACAGTTGCACTGGGATCTCATGCTTGTATGGAGATACGACCGGACAGGCGTCTCGTCTTCTACGACCGTGAGAGTAGGATGTAAAGCGGAGTACAGAGGACAGCAGACGGCACAGGTTTACATTCTGACCAGAGACAGAGCAGCCTGAGTTTGTACTCTGTATTCGAAATGTCATATGTCGTAAATACAGGCATGACACATGCCCCATTCATATGAACTCACTTATGTCGGACGCGTTTTCGCTCGTCTGCCATGTTTTTATGCTTTTGTCAAATGTTGTAATCCATGAATACACCAAGGTCAGGCTTTCTTGGATTGGTACTTTTGGCTTGCCTCGCCCTCGAATTTGTTGGCCTTCACAATCCCCAACCTGCTCTGGCCTTCAAAAATCACTGCCTAATTGGGACAGC